TAAAGTTTATTAAAAGATGAATTTCAATTTAACGAATTTTCCACGTGGCGAACTTTTTCTCTGGATTTAGTGACTTCGCTGAATACAGGTCCGACTACAGTGCTTGGTTTTCTCTCGCGTTAGCATCGAAAAACAGAGCCAAACCTCGGTATTCCATGTTTTCCGACTATTCCATCATACCTTCCTTCCTTCTACAATTATTTATTGAGATAGTTTTACTTCATAAAATAGGAATCTAATTCTTCATCGTATGGGACAATAGGTTTGGTGTAAAACTCATATTCTCTGCTATTATTCCGTGGAATTTCTTTAAATTCATTTGATTCTCTGACGGCCATGAACATTAGAATTAAAAGGAAACATCCATTAGTTGAAAGAGATCAATGTGCAAACTCTTTCATTTGAGTCACTATGTATATTCCTCAGTACAGTTTTGCATCGTTAGAGCTCAGGTGCTTCCCTCTGGGGAGGAAACAGGGCTTCAAAATTACATGCGGCAATCGGTATCGCCTGTATGGTGCCACACTAAAAAGTGATACCAGCTACTAGGTCTGCAAAGGTAAAAATACCAATACGCAATGCGTCAGTATAAGGCGTTTCCCGTCTCGAATAGAAATCAGCGCACCCCTTCTGTTCTATGCTGGGATCATCGTTTGAAATAAAGTCTATATATTCTTCTGTGATTATATTGTATGTTTCCGTACATCTATCTATCGTCTTTCGTATGCATCCCAGGATGAAACGCACGACAACAATAACAACAACTATTATGTGCATAAAACACGAAACTTTGTTCAAATTATTTTGCATGAATTATATTCCTCTGATCATGCCAAATAATAAAAAAAAGGATTTGCGTTTAAAGTTTAAGAACATTTTGCGTTTCATTTTCCATAACGCTTTTGTACGTATACTAAAACGAAATATTTTTCTGCAAAAATATAGGGCTGCGGTAGCCCAGTGGTCAAGGTATCGGATCATGTCATGAGTTCGAGCCCCAGTACCACTAAAGACCCGCCGTGTATGGGAGCGATGCACGTTATATTTGTCGAAAGCTCAAACGTCCTCCCGTTGGTGTGGTGAGGTAGTGAGGAGAAAGGGAGTGCCAGCTCAGATGTCGTCCACGTCACTTGACCATGGTTCAAAATTACGTGGTCCGTCGCCAAAAGCCCTCGTGTAGCTGAACAGTGCGACGTTAATATTCACTCACTCACTCTGCAAAAATATGTGTGACCACAGGTAGCCTAGTTGTCATGGCCCAGAGTTTGTATGGTTGATGTTTCATGAGTTCGAGTCCTAGCGCCACTGAAGACCTACCATGTAAAGGGGCTGATGCACTTTAAATCCGTAGTGGTTCAAAGTCCTCACGTCGGCATAGTGTGGTAGCTTGAAGAAGGGGACCCAACTCAGGTATCCTCCTCGTCACTTGATCAAGGTTTGAAATTACGAAGTCCATCGCCAATAGCCCCGTTGTTGCTTTTTAGTGAGGTGTTAATAAACACTTACTTATTCTACAAAACTATTTATACATGTAATAACCAAAGAACACTAATATTATCTTATTAAATATGTAATATTTTAATATTAATAAAATACACCATATTAATAAAACTGTTCATTTTTTTACAAATGCTGTACAGTAATTTTATAACCCTTTATCTACCACTGGTACTAATACCACTCACTGTAAAATTACAGAGAATAACCATTTTTACGAATACTCTGACGCTACTTAGCAGGAATATTCTTGGAAATCCATTCTTTCAATATATATGGCAGCACGGGTTCTATGATGAGTATTTTATAAGGGAAGGGGCAAATAGTTTTAGAGCAGAAATTACGTTTTCAGCTGACATTTTGATCGGATTGCGGGGATTGTCACTTTTGTTGTAAAAAAGTAGTTAATATCAAAAGGTGTCTTGTTTTTATTTTCTGTATGTTAATGAAGACCTTAGGAAACGATTTGACTATTTGTTTTAAGTGAACAATGTATGTAATTAATTCTACAGTTGATTATCTTTAACTAATTAGCTCTAACGGATTAAATTTCCCAAAGTTGAGTGTTTTGTTTATGTACATCTCTTCATTTTCAATGTAGTGATTCAAAAAAAAATATTTCATGAAAAAAATTTCAGTAAATCATATTGCGGTAGATAAAGGGGTAATGCAAACGTTGAAATTTTATTTCGTGAAATTGTTTCATTAAATTTTATTATTTATTCTTACATGAAACACAATTATATTTTAAATTGACATACACTCAGGAACATTGAAAATAGCGACCCAAGAAGGAAGCTAAGTACAATCGCGAAACTTTGCAAATAAGTACAGCGTAATGTGATATGCAAATGATCCAAGTTTTGTGCCAATACGCATGCTCATACACGCCGTGGAGGCGCTACAAGCAGGAAGAGGGTGCTATATAAGCCAGCGCAAATTCAAAGATTCATAAACGTTACGATTACCCACCGATTGTAGGAAGACTTTGGTAAGCGAAACATGCCAGGTAAACGTGCTAGAAGACATTTCTCACAGTCAAGTGAGTTTGAGAGAGGCCTAAACATCGGGATGAAAACTGCAGGCTGGTCGACGCACCGTGTTGCTGGCCAGGTGGATCGTTCGGAGTGTGCCGTTAGAAATTGTTGGGAGCAGTGGACACGAGAAGGTACCCACGCGTGGAAAACCGGGTCTGGAGCGACCAGGAAGACCACGAGGAAAGAGACTCAAAGGATCGTGTGGCAAGTACTTGTGGACCTCACAGTGACTCGTTCAACGATACGAGCAGACGTAGGCGTAGCAATTGTTCCACAAACAATTTCCAGACACCTTGCAGAAGCAAATCTTAAATCCAAGCGCCCTTTCCGTGCACTCCTTTTAACATCGGCAACTGCGTCTACAGTGGTGCCAAGCCAGATTAATGTGGAATGTCATAGATTGGCAAAAAGTTGTGTTTAGTGATGAATCCCGGTTTGTTTTGGGGACAGATGATAACCGTGTACGGGTGTGGAGGCGCCCTGGTGAGCGGTACAATTCCCCCCATACTGTTCTACGTCACACTGCCCGCACAGCTAGTGTAATGGTCTGGGGAGCCATAGCCTATGATAGCCGGTCCACTTTAATTGTGATGCGTGGAACCTTAACGGGCCAACGTTACGTTGATGATATTCTTCGAACCCATGTAGGACCTTTCCTAAATGGTCTCCCAGGGGCAATTTTCCAGCAAGATAATGCTCGTCCGCATACAGCAAGAGTTGTTCAAGACATCCTACGTCATTTTCAGACTCTTCTATGGCCAGCCCGCTCCCCCGATTTGTCCCCTGCAGAGCACGTGCTGGATCAGCTTAAACGACAGATGCCATCGTGTCACTCTGTACATGATTTAGAGTTGGCTGTTCAAGATTTGGGGGCCCATCTGCCTCAGGACAACATAAGGTGTCTAATCAACTCAATACCGGACCGTGAGTTGGCATGCATTGCAGCTGGAGGTGGTCCAACGCGCTATTGAAGTTGCCCAGTATTTGTGTCGTTGCACACCCTGTATTCGTTCAATTGTCTTGTTTTTGAGATCAAGTGAATCTCTCATCTGTGTCATTATGTGTATTAAATTTCATTTCAATCCGATTCTTTCTTCTTGGGTCGCTATTTTCAATGTTCCTGAGTGTATGTCAAAACTTTTAACTGAATTAGAAATTAGAGTGAGTGAGTGAATATTAACGTCGCACTATTCAGCTACTTGAGGGCTTTTGGCGACGGACCTCGTAATTGTGAATCATGGTCAATTACAAATTAGAGAAAAAAATATCATTTGGTGATATAACTGATCATAATTGTAATATCCAACCGGGCATAAAAATATTTAGTAAAAAAAATGCGTATATAAGGTCTCAAAGGAAGAAAAGAAAATCTAGAAGCAAAACTAATTTACTCGACTAAAACACAGAAAAAATTAACTCATTAACTGATTTTAGTTTTTACGTTTAGGCTAACATTTCTTAGGCATTTGAAGCCTCTTTAAGGTATCCGACTACGTTCGGAACCGTGATTTTAAAAAAGCGCATAAATGGATAATTTTCATGATATTTAGTGTCACTCAGATTAGAATACATGCATAAAATTGTTTTAAGGACATTTTGACAAAAAAAAGTTTATTTAAATATAATATTTTGGTAAAAAATTAACTTAGAATAATCTTTTTTCCAAATGTTCTCCTTTTGTGAAAAATGGCTCTATTATAATAATATTTTGCCTGTATATAGCTCAGACCTCTCTACAGAGGCTCGACTAGAATATTTGAAAAATTCACATTATTTTTAGTTACCATTAATTGAAATTATTATTCGCGTTTTTTTTTCTTAAAATAGCTCCCCTCTGTTGTCGTGCAACATGAATAAACCCACTTCTAAGTTATATATTTCAAAAATTCTAGTTGAGCCTCTGAACAGAGGTCTGAGCTATATGCAGGCAAAATATTATTCTAATAGAAGCCATTTTCACAAAAGGAGAACATTTGGTAAAAAGATTATTCTAAGTTAATTTTTTGCCAAAATATATTTAAATAAATTTTTTTTTGTCAAAATGTCCTTAAAAGGATTTTATGCATATATTCTAATCTAAGTGACACTAAATATCATGAAAATTATCTATTTATGCGCTTTTGAAAATCACGGTTCCGAACGTAGTCGGACACCTTAAAGAATATGAAATAAATATATACAAATGCTTCGAACAAGTAATATAAAAAAAAAATTTAACTCAATTCCTATTTAGATCAACAAAAAAATTATTTTAGTTATTTTTTTAAAAAATGATTACAATTAATATAAATATGAATATACATATAACAGAATTCCACTATTAAGAGGCAAAATAGAAAGCGATTTTCCGTTCTATATATGGTGTTGGACTATTATTTTTGTATGTTGCTATTTATTCATAAATTAAATTTACTTATTCCAATAAAATAGTATAGTAAAACGAAATCACATTCTCAGAAATTACGTCATGCCAGATGTGATTCGAACACACAACCTTTGGATTAGAAGTCCAACGCGCTATCTATTGCGCTATAGGGACACAACGAGCGATTTTCCTTTTTATATATGGTGTTGGACTATTATTTTTGTTTCTATTTTTTAATTAGTTAAATAGAATTAATGAATTAATATTTGAAAAAACTGTATTGTCATCTACTACAAGTTTAAAAAATGTATTTGAACTTGAGTGGATGAATAAAAAGTATTTTATTAACGATTGAAAACTTGAACAAGATATATACATAGGGAGATAATGAACTAATAGTAGGAATTGAGAAAAACATATTGAAAATGCGAAGTTTTCTTGAAACTACATTCTGTAACTATCGTCATTATCATATCTGGCAAGACAACCCTTCGTGGGTCAGTACCTTCCTTTGAAGATTCCTCCATAATGACCTTTTGTTTACTTTGTTCACCAAGTTTTCTCTTTTATAATCGTAAAGTTTGATTCCACTGAGCCTGCCCATCTCAGCCTTGATCATCCACATTTCTGAATCTCAGTGACTTTGAGCTGCAGGTTCCTCTTGACAACATTATCGTCTGGCATTCGAATAAAATGGGCTATCCAATTCATTCTATTTATTTTTATGTATTTAATGATGTAAGGTTGCTTATAAAATCAGTACAATTTACAATTGTATTTTTTTCTCCAGTTATTGTTTTTGTCTACACCTCTAAGTATACTTCGAAGTATTTTTCTCTCAAAAAACATGCCATTCGATTTTCTTCCAGTTTTGTTATCGTCCAAGTCTCAAATGCATATGTTAGAACTAGTCTAATAAGAGTTTTGTAAACTAAAAGTTTTGTGTTTCTTGAAAGAAATTTAGATTTTAAAAACCTCCTCAGTCAGTAAAAAGCCTTATTTGCCAGGTATAATCGATTCTGGATTTCATGAGATATTCTGTTATCATAGGTAGTAATTAATCCTAAGTAGGTAAAATTTTTTTTAACTTTTTCAAATTTGTATGAATCTTTTTCAAGATAAGGATATGGGACTTTTTTTGAAAATAGCATATATTTAGTATTTTTCCCCCCATTTATAATGATACATTCGACTTGCTCTAGTCTTAGGGGGCAAGAAATGCTTCTTTCAGAGCAGGGAGGGTACGGACAATGATATCAATATCATCAGCATAGGCGAAAAAGCTGTACTGATTTTAAAAAAATATGTCCACTACTATTGATATTTGAATCATGAATTACTTTCTCAAGTGCAATATTAAAGAGCAAGCACAAGAGAGAGAATCTCCCTGTCGCACACCTCTAAGTATGTAAAGAATAATTTGGATATTTGTAAGAAAAAATTCCAAATAGCAAAAAAAAAAGACACGATCAAAAAATAATTAAATAAAAAAGTCTTCTTTACTACTACATCTTTTTTACTCATATTTAACTTTTCCCATTGTTTTTATTGGATCTTTTTGCGGTAATATTCATTTTATTTTAACATCTTTCCCGATATTTGTACATCGTGCTGCCATCTATCGAGGGGAATCTCAACAAAATAAGTCTTTGATTCTTCTATAATGAGAAAATGAAACATTTAACAAAATATTTTATCTTAAGTACTATAACTTCTAAAAGAAAATTTTAAATTTAAAGGATATATTAAAATGTGTTTTATAAAACTCAAATCAACTATACTAAATTGTTTGAATTAATGCTTCTAACGTGTATTACAAAATTCCAAATCTATACATATGTTTCAATAAAGCAAAATTTCGTTTGTAATTATCTCAGAATTTAGATAAAATCTGATGCTTCAAATATACATCAGAATTTGTGTTTTCATTCAATATTAAGGAGTGGATAATGAATTTGGAGTACTTTTCAAAATATAAAGATGCTCAAAAATTATTATACCAAACTAAAAAAAATGTACCTATTATGTCATGAAGAATTTGGAAACGTTGTGTAACTATGAATTTTTTTCATTTTTATTCTCAGTGACGTAACGCACACCCCTGCAACCCACGCAGAGGGGGGGTCAGGACTCTAGGGGATACAAAGCACGACTGGCGCCAAGTAAAGTACCCTTTGTAAAATCCAAACTTGGGGCCCAAATGTTTCCCGTTACGCCACTGTTTATTCGTAAAGTAAAAAATTTGCTTAGAATTACAATATAGGTTACGGAATAATGAGGGTATTTTATACAGGATAAATTTGACTGGTTCAAGCCAGTGGAGAAACAGAAAATATTAGGCCCTCCTGCGATGTCAGATTTGGGGCCAAAAGCCGACTATTACAAAAGACAGGCTTTGGGCCTCTTAGAATCCTGGGGCCTCCCCGCGATGTACGTTACGTCACTGGTTCAAGCAGAAATAAGGCACATAAGAAAATGATATTCTCCACTTTGATGTGAAGTAAAAATGTGATATTAATACTACAGCATTTTTCAATCTAATAAAGAATTTAGAGTGTAAAGTTCTCTTGTGGAACGTTAGATAAAGATAGCTTTTAATATTTTTAAAGAATTCATGCACGGCACATTTTAAATTTTTTTGATAGGTTTATTATTTTGAAATGTTACTAAAGTAACTGGAAAACAACATAACTAGATAACATGAAATTTATAAAAAGTAGGAAGCTACGGGATTTTTTTTTAAAAAAAATAAGAGTAAAAATCTAATCAAGTTTTGAAAATTAATGAAAAATTTGTATATAAATTCTATATAATATTCGTATATATATATATGTGTGTGTTTTGCTCTCTTTAGACAAATAAAATTGTGTTCCTAACATAAATTTTACATTGAAGTTTCTGTAAAGAACAGAGAAAAAAATATAAGAACTAATAAAAGCAAATACAAAAAAAAAAAAAAAATTAAAATTTTATTTCAGAAAATTATGGCTTAAATACTTGTGAATATTTTTTTATAATTCAAAACAATTTCCTGGGTATTTTCATACAATTTATGCAATTTTAAGGTATCCGATTACTTGTGACAACTCTTTTTTTTTGAAAAAATGGAGATATGGGGATTTTTTTTGTGATTTTTTTAGATGTATTTAGTATATTTTAAGAAAACATTCTAAAATTGAAAACAAACAAAATTTTATTGCTATTAAAATGTGAAAAAACTGGTGAAAATGTACAAAAAATTACACAAACGGGGCCCACTCTATACAAAAATTTTATGAACAAATTCTCAATTTTTCAACTTTGATGTGTTACTTTGTTATTCAAGTTTGAAATGACCTTCAGGATAAGAGATACTTTAATTTTTACAAAGACTAGAGCACTTTATCTTAGTGACTACATAAAATTGCTTGAAAAAACAGTGATTATATTCACATAAAGGACTGTAAATTTTGAAATAAAACAGTGATTGATAAATCTGTTTTTGAGCAATCGCTGTCCCCGTTTGAGTTTTTTGAAAAAAGCACATTTCGAGTAAAACACATTTTAGAGTTTGACATCTTATGTAAAGTCATGGCATCTGTTTTTACTAAAACATTTGTAGTTTTTGTTCTAGTGATTGGAAAATAAAAAACTTGGTATTTTTATAAAGCTAATAAAATGACCTATAAAATAAAATCATAAGAAAATTTGTCAATTTTTGAAAAAAATCATGATTTTAGGGTAGTCGCATACCTTAATTGATTATTTTATTTTATTTATTTATTTATTTTTACAATTGGTTATAATCATCTTAATTTTAATACTTTGAATGATAAGGACAATGTATTTACTGGATATATATTGTTTAATTTTTAGTACTTTTATAAACATAAAGATAATTTTCAAATGAAATTAATAATTTATGTATTGTTTGGAGGGAAAAATTTGCTAAAGTTTAGATCTAACCAATCAGTTAAATATATATGATACAGAAAATAATAAATTAGATTAACGCACCATCTTCTGAGCACGGTAGTAATATTTTTGAGCTTTCTAATTTCTGCCTCAAACAGGGATTACCTCATTTAATTACATCACTTGATGTTCTTGATGTGTAAAAAAGTAGGTAAAATTTTAATAAATTTATTTTGCGGGTTTCTTTTTTTTTTTTTTTTTTGTAAATATTTTAAAGTATTTTTTGAAGATCACTATAAAAATTTTTTAATAATCTAAAAAAAATAATAAAATCACTTGTAATAAAATTCTTTTTATTTTTATGCTATTTTGAATCTACGTATATTTTATAATTTTAAAATTGGTTTTCAGGCAAAGAGAGAGAACGAGTGAAGTTATAGATCTATAAACTGGAAAAGAAGTGGAAAAATACGTGTTTTAGGGCTTTGCATTTCATTAATAAATGCGTATTTATAAGTTACTAGCTGGTATATCCGTTCTTCTCACGGCTGAATTGAAAAATTAAACAATACAGATTGAAGGATAAAGAAGTTTTTAATGAATTAATATTACACGAATTGTAAATAAAAAAAAACTTTTTGCATATCTCAGCTGAACAACAAAAAAAAAACCACATTTGTTAAATTTTAAGTCTGAAGGTCTAATAGCTGATAAAAAGGGGACATATATTTTTTTTTATTTATGACACCTCTAACTCTCTTGCGCATCGATTTTTGAAAACACCTTTCTAAGCTGATCTCTGCTCAGCAAAAGTAACACATTAATGCAAATTTTACGTCATGAACCCTTAAAATAGTGTAAATAATTTATATTTGGATGTGAAATACGTTAATATCACTTTCTGTTGTATTTATTTTATGCTCAAATTGTAATATTTGCAAGCAACTCCGTTCCTTACATTATAATAGCGATGCAATGGAAACATTAGCAAAATGTTGGTGACAGAGCCAAGTTGGCCTCATTTTTGGCAACCCCGTTGGCAACTTGGTGATTGATGAAGCGGCACAGAATTTGATATACTATAACTCCACCTGGTGGTGATCTGCAGCAAAGAGGATAGCACAAAAACCTTCTCCGTAAAAAAATACATTTGCATGCCAATTTTGATAGTGATCGGTTGAACGGTGTTGGAGTGAAGCGATTTCACATATTCAGACATCCAGAGAGATTTAGTCAACAGTGCATGAGAGCTGCAAGCTTCTTAACGTTTACAGCTCGTT